TTCCAATCCCTGATGGTCTGGGATTCTGTGAGTTTGGGGTTTTGTCTGGGAGAGATTTACCAGCCTGATCTGATGCAAGACACTGAACTTGATGCAATGCAGGTCATTGAGCAGAAATTGAGGGATGGTCATGTCACGTTATGCTAAACTGGAACTAGTGCCTAGTCACACTTTATTTCCTCAATCAGCCTTGCTCTCTGCCACCCGTGAATATTGCTGCTTGTGTCTTTCAGAACTACCCCTCTTTCTGTGAAGTTGGTGACCATATAAACCCTAAACTTTGTCTTACTCATCTCTAACTAACACTTAATGTTCCTTGTCCTCAGGGATTGAGAAAGCTTTGTCTCGCCCTGGCCCAGATGTGGTTATCTGTGATGAGGGACACCGGATAAAGAACTGCCACGCCAGCACTTCGCAGGCCCTGAAGAACATCCGCTCCCGCCGGCGCGTGGTGCTGACGGGCTACCCGCTCCAGAACAACCTCATTGAGTACTGGTGCATGGTAGACTTTGTCCGACCCGACTTTCTAGGCTCACGGCAGGAATTCAGCAACATGTTTGAGCGCCCTATCCTGAACGGGCAGTGTATTGACAGCACCCCTCAAGATGTCCGGCTCATGAGGTATCGCAGTCACGTCCTGCATAGCCTGCTGGAGGGCTTTGTGCAGCGGTGAGTCCACGAGTTCTTAACAGTGCGGTCTGTGCAAACAGCTCCTTCATCCCAAATTAGCCTGCTTGTTTGCTGAGTTTATGCAGTACAGCTAATCGTGCTGCCTTACAGAATCATTTAGGTTGGAAAAGACCCTCCAAGTCCAACCGTTAACCTAACACACTACCAGGTCCACCACTAAACCATGTCCTTAAGTGCCACATCTACACATCTTTTAAATACCCCCGGGGATGGTGACTCAGCCATTTCCCTGGGCAGCCTGTCCTGACGCTTGATAACCCTTTTTATGAATAATTTTTTCCTAGTATCTCATCTAAACCTTCTCTGGCACAACTTGAGGCTGTTTTCTCTCATTCTATTGCTTGTTAAGAGACCAACACCCACCTCCCTACAACCTCTTTTCAGGTAGTTGTGGAGAGCAGTAAGTCTCTTCTCAGCCTCATTTTCTCCGGGCTAAGCAGCCCCAGCTCCCTCAGCCACTCCTCATAACTCTTGTGCTCCAGACCCTTCACCATCTCCCATGCCCTTCTCTGGACACGCTCCAGTGCCTCAATGTCCTTCTTGTAGTGAGGGGCTCAAAACTGAACACAGGATTTGAGAGGTGGCCTCAGCAGTGCCGAGTACAGGGGGACGGTCACGTCCCTAGTCCTGGCCACACCATTTCTGATACAAGCCAGGATGCTCTTGGCCTTTTTGGCCACCTGGCCACACTGCTGGCTCATATTCAGCTGCCTGTCAACCACCTTTTCCAAAAGGCAACTCTCCACCCACTCTTCTCCAAACCTGTAGCCTTACGTGGGCTTGTTGTGACCGAAGTGCAGGACCCAGCACCTCGCCTTGTTGAACCTCTGACAGTTGGCCTCCACCCATCAATGCAGCTTCTTAGACTTCAGTTTCAAACTGGTACCTTATCTCTGTGGGAGGATCCTTAAGCATACAGAGAAAACCACAGAGGAGTTTCTGAAGTTAACAGCTCCATATTTCTCTCAGAATCTCGGTCTTGTTCAATGGCTCAACTGCGGAGTGGTCCTTCTGGCTCTGTTTTGCCTTGGGGGCAAAGTAAAGTTGATTTGCTTTAGTACCACAGACTCTGATAGTAGAGAATGACACCTCTAACTGCACCAGAGCGACCTCAGGTTTATTTTGATGTCTTACTCGTTAGTTTGGATGTGTGCTTTCTGACATCCTCTACCTGAGGATCTGGAAGTGTTTCATGAGCCCTCATTTATGAAAAGGAACAGTGTCTCCATCACTGTGGAAACAAATTAGCTTTGTTTCTCAGATGTTGGTTCCAAGGTGCTGAACTGGTGGTGTGGACAGAGCATCTTAGTCTTTGGCAGAGGTAAGAAGAGGCCTTAGGTTTCATTTCTGTTTTTCAACTGCCGTGGAAAACAGGACTTTCATCACCCTCTTCACACTGTCACCTGTGCTAGAAGTTTGTAACGTTTGAGATCTCTAAATGTGCTTGCAGTTGGTATTTGGGTGCAGGGAGAGTGCCTTGGAAGTGTCGTGCCTTAGAAAAGCACACAACTAGAAGTCTTCCTCCCTGCAGCCAGGTGGGCAAGAAGACAAAATCACACAGAGATCAGATTGGGAAACTCCCTTTCCTCTGTTTATCTCTCTTTATTTCCTCCACAGGCGAGGCCATAACGTGCTGAAGGTTCAGCTGCCATCTAAGGAAGAACATGTCATTTTGGTGCGTCTTTCGAAGATCCAGCGGGCCCTTTATACGGAGTTCATGAACCGGTTCCGAGATGCAGGCAACAGTGGCTGGTTGGGCCTGAACCCACTCAAAGCTTTCTGTGTCTGTTGTAAGGTAGGTTTTGTTAGGAACTGCAAAGAAATATTCCAGTATGTAAGGGAATGGCAGGAATACGAGTGAAAACAGAGATAAAAGTGTGCATCTTCTCTCCTCAGAGTGCTCTGCAGTGGCCCAGCAGAGTTGTTATCTGCATTTCGGTGCAGCGATGTTAAATGTCTTGTCCAGATTTGTACAAGAAACCTGGTTTATATTTAGTGTCGTGGTAGAGTGATGTTTTCTGTTTTCACTACCTTAATGCAGTCAGACTGGCCTTCTCTGCAGTGCCCTGCAGGTCCATGTGTGGGTGGTGAGGAGGTGATCAAAGTATGAGTTCTCTGAATAGCTGTGGGGGCTTTTAGTCCACAGCACAGGCCTAACCACTTTCTGATCTTCCTCCTTCAGATCTGGAACCATCCAGATGTGTTGTATGAAGCTCTGCAAAAGGAGAATCTGGCGAACGAGCAAGATTTGGATGTGGATGACCTTGGCACAGCAAGTACCAATTCCCGCTGCCAGCCTCACGGAATTAAAGTCAAAACAGAGAGTAATGCTTTGGCATCACCAGTTGGAGAAGCTACTAACAGCAAGTTCCTCCAGAGCGTTGGCTTCAACCCCTTTCAGGAGAGAGCAAATCAGGTCGTTACGTATGAGTGGGTGAGTACCACTGCTGGAAAGGCCTTCATCTGGAGAGTCAGGATAAACATAGACTAGATACTTACTCTGAAAGACTGTGCCTCTTCTTGGTAGGGCAGTTTTCTGAAGTAAAGCAAAGAAAAGACTTCTGTTTAGTAGTTGGAGATTTCTCAGCTGTTTTCTCTGCCACAGAGCATCTTGATAAGCATGTCTGCATGGCACTGGGTAAGGACTCTCATGAGTCAACACTCTTTTATACCATTGTATTCACCTGAGCAAAAAGACTGTGGACTTTGCTATTCTAAAAATTAGGGTGAAATTTAATCTAGATAAGACGGTGATAAACGTAGGGGGCTGGAGGAGAGGTCTGGAGATTGAGTAGAGAGTCACGAGAGGTTAAGAGGATGCTAATTCATCCATGCTCCCAGGAAGCATCATTTGGAGCTCCTGAAATGGGAGGTAGCAGCAGTAGTTTGGAGTAGCGTTGTTACCTGGACCTGGCTGGATGTGTGTAACCTCTCTGCAATGACTCGTTTCCCTCACTTTGAGACAGGATTGTTGAACTAAACACGGCACGAGCAACTCCACCAGTAACGGTCTCCTGTTTCTTGGTAGGCCAAAGACATCTTGTGTGATTACCAGACGGGAGTCTTGGAGAACTCACCCAAGATGGTGTTACTGTTCCACTTAATTGAGGAAAGTGTGAAGCTTGGAGACAAGATCTTGGTCTTCAGGTAAGCCAAGTATCAACAGCTGGTCCTACAGTCACTAGATGCTGGAGTAGTTGAACCCTTCCTGGTACTAGGAGGTTGTTACACGAGGTGAGTGGTGTGGCAGTTCCCCTGTTCTCCTTTGTTGTGTTAGATCCTGGTTTTTCTCCATGGATTTTTTTACTTCTGCCAATACCAAGTTTACTAGTGAGAAGTGTGCTGCCATGACCAGGGTTTGACAACCATCAGTGCTGTCATGGCTGGGGAAGAGTTCTGATACTCCACCTTCGCTGCTGTGGGGGCTTTCTCCTCAACAGAGATCTTGGTTTTGCAGCCAGAGCTTGTCCACGTTATCTGTCATTGAAGAGTTTTTGGCAAAGAGACCGATGCCGAGTCCTCCAGGCTCAGATGGAGGAGTTCACAGCTGGGTCCGAAACATCAGCTACTACAGTGAGTGCAGCCAGTCCTCTCTTTTGGTGTGACACTGTTTGATCCTCTGTGACAGACTAATTCCTGAAAGTCACCCATCTTCTGTAGTTGTCCCTGGGTGTGAAAATGCTCTTCTGAAGCATTCTTCTGATGAATTCTCCTTCAGATTGTTCTTACTTTAGGTGCTTGGAAAGGCAGTGTCATTTTGACAGCCACTAACTGATAATTTCTGAATCCTCTTTTTGACATCTTTAACGTCTCACTTACACACTAGTGCTTTTTTGAGTAGTAAATGATACTTTTTGCTTCCTGTTTGGCTGTTTTCTAGACCTTGCTTCCCAAACCAGAGTCACTGTGGAATGCTTTCACCAGCCTGGGGCTGTGAATTCCTCCTCCCATCTTCCCCAGCTTTATAAACTTGTTCTGGCAGGGGTTGTTGTTTGTGTGACTACTTTACAGCCCAGGACTGAGAGGAGTGGTGGATATAGCGTTCCTGATTTTTGCAGAGCTGCCAGAAGCAAGCCCCACTGTCCAGGAACAGAGATGGGATACCCCTCACACTCCTCTAGACCAGTACTCTCTGTGCTCTGATTCAGCCTATGGGGTTTTGCCAGAGGCTTTCACAGTTTTGCTTTCCTTTGGTCCCTCGAGCTTCCAGCACACTTGAGGCCTTTGTGCCTGCTGCTCTTGTTTGCTGTCTGTCTTGCTTAACACAGAGCCCTAATGGGCTAAGTGTGTTGCAGCTCTCCCAGTCTTGGCTGTGCCAAGCTTTTGAGTAATGTTTTGCTTGATCTTTCAGTTGAACAAATCCCAGTCTGGCTGGCTGCATTGCACCTGCCTGGCTGGGCAAATTAGAGGTACAGAGTGGTCCCGTTCAGTTCCTGGAGTGCATGACTTGAGGAAGACCTAGAATTGGTTGGGAATCAGTGCCAAAGCTCGGTGTTTGGGAAGTGCTTTTGTTCTGATGGGATTCCCCTAAACATACAGAGCTTTTAAACGTGTCCTTAATTTCCTTCTCAGGACTGGATGGCAGCACCTCTGCCTTGGAAAGGGAACGACTGATTAACCAGTTCAATGACCCCAGCAACACCTCTGTTTGGCTCTTCCTGTTGTCCACACGGTAAGTTGGCTGGAGCAGAAAAGCGCAGCAGAGGCCTCATGCTGGTGCTCTGTATACTTATGGGTTTTCAGTTCTTCACTTCTTGTAACCTGCTGCCAAGGCTCTATGGGGTGATAGTGCCATCTGCTTCTGAATTTCCGAAGGGATGCAGAATTTTAGCCTTAGTCCTCTGCAATAACTTAACCACAGTCTTGGAAACTAAACATGCATTTGAAGTTACCTGTGTGACGGAAGGGAACTTTCCATAGGCACCTCATGGACTCTTGGCTGTGGTGGCTGTCATCCCTAGAAGCTTTGAAAATTGACCACGGCAGTAAGTTGAAATTTGCCTTTGATTTCCAGCGCTGGGTGTTTGGGTGTCAACCTCATTGGAGCAAACAGAGTGGTGGTGTTTGATGCTTCTTGGAACCCGTGCCACGACGCCCAGGCCGTGTGCCGCGTGTACCGCTACGGGCAGAAGAAGCCATGCCACATCTACAGATTGGTTTCTGATTACACCCTTGAGAAGAAGATCTATGACCGGCAGATCTCCAAGCAGGGCATGTCAGGTAAATGTGGATGGGTATGGCACTCCTCCACTCTTGGCTTTCACTTGTCTTAACAACTTTAAGTCCTGTTTCTGTGCTTCTCATGACTTCTTTTCTTAAGGTTGAAAACTAGAGAGCCAAAGAACTGGCAGAGACGCTCTCCTCGGGCTATGGTTGATGTTTATGAGTTGGTGGTGACATGAGACCCTATAAGAAATTAATGGCAGAGCAGCAGGAGTTGTAGAGCCAGCATCCTGCAGCAGGGTTGTGCTACCAGACCAAAGCAGCACCATTTACCTTCTCTGCTACTCTCCTGGCTGCTACAAGAGCCTGGAGACTTGAGGGGTGGTCATCCTGTTATCCCCCATGCATTACTTGTCTTAAACTGGGCCGTACTTACTACCTACCATTACTTAGCTCTGTGCTGTATGTGTATTGATACCTTTGACTGATAGTGCTTACTTAGGAGCCAAGAATAATTAATTCATTCCAGTTCTGACCTGCCCTTGTATCAAAAGTATCTTTTGTGCTGGCTTGTGCCAGCTCTTGAGCTGCCTTTGTAGAGGATGCAGTTGAGGATTGTGTTGATCCAAGAAAAGTTCTGTAGCCTGTGTCCTTTGTCTCAGAACACAACTCCAGAGGCAGCAGCCCAGTGCAATGGGTGCAGTGTGCTGTCTTTCACTGAGATGGAGTCCTCTGGCAGCTGGTCTGACCCTCAGGAGTGTCCTGGCTATAGGTGTGTTCTCCATGTGCTCCCATCTGAGCTGTGAGCAGGCAGGAACGTCCAAGGAAAACTTGTGAGGGAGGGAGAGGGGCTGCTTTTCTGAGCTTTCAGCTCAGCAGAGTTCTCTGGTTATGAACTTGAGCCTTTTTGATGGGGTTTGCAGGAGGGCACAGATTGATGTGGCTGCAGGTCTGTCCCAGAGCTCGTATGTTTTCAGCCTCGCGATGCGAGATGGGACACCCTCTGTAATTAGCTTCATGTTCCCGCGTGCCAGAAGCTCAGGGACCTGCGCTGCATTGCTGTGCAGTCTGGAGCGCAAGGCGTTTGTCAGCCTGACAGGTTGACATGCCTGGTGACTTTTCTCCCTCTCCTGACATTTACAGAAGGCTTCTGAGGATCGTGCAGCTTGCAAGGAGGGAGCTCTATTAGAACAGGAATGCAGGAAGGGCAGCAGTACCCCTCTCCTCACTTCTCACTCCGTTCCCTCTCTTTTCCAGATCGGGTGGTGGATGATCTGAACCCAGTGCTGAACTTCACCCGGCGGGAGGTAGAGAACCTGCTGCATTTTGTGGAAGAGGAATCCGACCCTGCTCAGCTCTCCCTCAATCCAAGCAAGATGAAGGAGTCTGTTCTACAATTAGCCTGTCTCAAGTATCCTCACCTCATCACCAAGGTAAGACCAAGCTGCTTCCTTGCTGGCACAGCAGTGTGCAAGCTGGAGGAGTCTGGCTGTGCGATGGGGACGTGGTGGCAAGAAGGACACATTTGTGTAAACAAAATTCTCTAGAGAGGGCTCTAAGAACCCTGCCCTTCCCTTCAATATCTTCTGCTCATTTAGAGCCACTTCTGTCCTGAACAGGTCTGGGGGCAGGTTGTAAGGCACCCCTGTCTTCAACTTAGTGCTGTGCCAGAAAGGTAGCAGTGGCATATCCCAACTTGCTGTCAGCTCTGTTCCTGAGGTGGCTTTAGAACAAAGCTGGGATAGCCAGCACTTGCCTGTGCTGTGAAGAGTTTCACTGGTAGGGGGGTGCTGCAGAGTGGCCCATGGCTGGGTGCCGCAGGGCTCTGGTGGCTGGGTGATGTCTCAGCAGGCTCCATGCTTGCACTCTGAGCCTGGCCTTTGGCTTGTGGGGTTTTCAGCATGCTCATGGTAAGTGATGGCCTTGGCTGGGCAGGCTTAGCAGTGGTGAGTGATGGTTTAGCCGACTGTCACTCTTCAGGCTGAGCCTTGGTCACATCCACAGCATTGCCCCACTCATGTTTTGCCGTGACCAGCCCTGCCTCCCAGCTCCACTCTTCCCTGCGCTGGCCTGGGATGGAGACAGTGCTGATGCAGGGACCCGGTGGCTGCTATTTGGGGCGTGCTGGTTCCCTCTTGTGGTATGTTGTTGTCAAAATCTCAGTGCTGTGGGGTTGCAGGAGCCTTTTCAGCATGAGTCACTGCTGATCGACCGGAAGGAGCACAAGCTGACCAAGGCAGAGAAGAAAGCAGCCAAGAAAAGCTATGAGGAGGAAAAGCGAGCATCCGTCCCCTACACCCGGCCGTCCTACGCACAGTATTACCCAGCCAGTGACCAGAGTCTGACGAGCATCCCTGCCTTTAGCCAGAGAAACTGGTGAGTCCCTGCCTCTTCGCCTTCTTCCCCTGCTGCAGTTGTGAAATGAGGGGGCAGAGGATGTTTAGCTCTGTCAGTGGTGGCACTGCACTTTCCTCCCTGCTCTCTCACCAGGCGACCAGCCCTCAAGGGTGAGGACAAGCCGGTGGCAAGCGTCCGCCCAGTTCAATCCACCCCCATTCCTATGATGCCCCGGCACGTCCCCATGGGCAGCGCAGGATCGACCTCAAGTTCCAACCCCGCTGTCAACTTCCCCATCAACTACCTACAGCGAGCTGGTGTCTTTGTGCAGAAGATTGTCACCACCACAGGTGAGCTGCTGAGGAATTGAGGAGCAGGATGAGTTGTTGGTGCCCACATGGGCATAGTGAGAGCCACTGATGCTATCTCTGCATTTCAGCAGTTCCTTTGTAACTGGGGGCCTTGCTCTGCAGGTGTGCAAGGGGCATGGGCCTGGTGGGTTGCTGGGAGTGAACTCCCTGTGAGACAGCCTGCAATATTGTCATTAGTTTGCCCTTTCTGGGACAGGGGAGATGCTGTGGCAGTTGCTTCCTCAGAGCTTCTGCTGCCTTCCTATGCTGCTCAGAAGTAAACCCAGGCCTTACTTCCAGACAACTGCAGTGCAAACTGAGGGGTTAGGTGGCACACCTCCTCGCTCTCAACTGTGGCTGGTGTGTAATTTCACGCTGTTCCGTTTCTCCCCTTGCTGCCAGATATTGTGATTCCGGGTACAAACACATCCACTGACGTACAGGCAAGAATCAGTGCTGGCGAGAGCATCCACATCATCCGAGGGACAAAAGGTAAGTCTCTTTTTCTTGTTAAGACTTGTGGATAGGATCCTAGTTGATGCTAATTAGCAAAGAAAAGGATGTAAAAACATGAATCAGTCCCTTGAGAGAAAAAGGAACAAGAGGAGGAGGAGATCTGGACTCTGCAGTGGCTGTGTCCACAGCCCATGCTTTGGGTGTGCTGGTGTAGCTGATCCTTCAGGGCTATTGCAGCTGTGGCTGCTGCTGCCTGAGAGGAGCTGTTGAACTTTGTGGCTGGGTGTCTCATTCTCACAGCACCCACTGCAGGTGGGGCAGCCAAACATTCCCTGGTGCTCCCAGAGCAAACGTAGCTGGAAGTATGAAGTTCCCCATTTCCCACCAGCAGCACATCAGGAGGGGATGAGCTCTAACTCAGGAAAACGGAAAGGGTAGAAATGAAGAGTGAGGAAGGGGCAGAAGCTCCCCCACTGATGCTCCTGCATGATTTGTGGGCTAGCTTTATGCAGCACTGCTGTGCTATTCCTGCCTGGGCAGCCTCACAGGAACTGTGGGTGAAGTTGTCCTGCCTGTGTTGCAGGGACGTACATCCGGACCAGCGATGGCCGTATCTTTGCTATCCGGACCACTGGGAAGCCGAAGGGCAATGAAGATCGTCGAGCAGCTGCCTCAGGTAGGGGCTTGTGAGCGCTGCGCAAGGCTGCTCGTGTGCTTGCCAACCCGAGTGTCTGGGCTGGTGTTCCCTGGCTCCTTCCTGTGCTCAGAGCTGACTCCGCAATCTTACCATGATATCCCACCTTCCTTCCCACTGTTGCTTCTCGGGCGTGCCCAAGTTTTTCTCCAAGGTTGCCTTTCTCACCTGCTCCATCTCTGTGTTTCCAGGCTCCCAGAGCTCTTCGCTGGAGTCCACAAGCAATGGCAGACACAGTGCCTCATCACCGCAGCTCCCCAGCGCAGGGGAGCTCACTCGGCCCATATCCCCCGACAGCCCTGAGATCATCAGCGAGCTGCAGCAGTACGCAGAGGCAGCGGCCGCCCGGGAGTCCCGGCACAGCTCTCCCAGCACCAACGCGGCGCAAGGCCACCCCGCCTGCGTGGACAACGTGCCTGGCTTAGCAGCCCGAGGAGCCGAGCAGCGCGTGGGGATTCACTGCATGGCTCCCTCCGTGTCTTCAGCCCTGCCGGCCCCCAGCCAGCAGATGGATGCCCACTCGGTGTTGGACTTACGTGGCAACAAGCGCAAGTCGACCTCGCCGTCGGCTCCGGAGGAGCAAGCCCGCAGGCAGCAGAAGAAGCGCCAGCTGCCATCATCCGCGCAGCCGTACGAACACGGGTACCCTGTCTCTGGTGGGTTCACCATGCCTCCTGTCTCTTTAAACCACAACCTAACCCATCCGTTTGCCTCCCAACCAGGAAACTCCTTGTACATGGGCACTGGCTCCTCTTATTACCAGCTGCCCAATTTACTCCCAGACCCTCATCTGGTGTTCCCTGTGACTACTGACCCTCTGCTGACAGCCGGCACCGCCAGCTCTTCTGCTGCTACCTCAGCCACCGCCAGCGTCCCCTCATTCATGCTAAACCCTTCTCTGACGGGGGTGCTGCCCAATTACTCGCTTCCCTTCACGCAGTCACTCCTGCCCGAGCCCAGGATGTTTGCTCCTTTCCCAGCCCCTGTCTTGCCTAGCAGCCTTCCCAGGAGCATGGCGTCTGCCTACCCTGGCTACATGTCCCCTCACTCGGGCTACCCGGCCGGGGGCCTCCTTCGGTCCCAGGTGCCTCAGTTTGAACCCCAGGATGTCCCAGAGGTGGGATGCAGCTCTAATGATGAGGACAAAGACGACGATGTTATAGAGATCACAGGGAAATAACGAGCCCAGCTCCTGCTTGGTGTCAGCTCTGCCGGGAGGCAGAAGTTGCAGAACCATTTTGGGAGTCAGGATTTCCCCTCTGGGCCACAGCAGTGGGTGGAGAAGGATGCGAAGGTTGTGGCGTGGGGGTTGTTTTGGGTCTTTTGTTTTGTTGTTTTTTAGCTGTCCAGGATCTGAATTGTATTAGGGGCTGGGAGATGGGAGGGGGATAGAGTGGACCTGCGAGGGCTGGGGGGGAGCAAGGGCCAGAGGAGGAGGGGAAGCAGCCATGCAAAAACCATAGGAGTGCCTCCCTCCCACGCTTTGTCTGTCTGTCTGTCTCTGTTCTCTGTCTTGTCTGGAAGGGGGAGACACTGTGGTGGGAGTCGCTGCCCTTCTCAGGCCTGGAGGGCACGGGCTTGACCGCTGGCAGGACTGAGCCCCCTCTCACATGAACTGCCTTATCTGTGAACTTCTCTCGCTCCTGGAGGTGTGGGCCAGGGGGGCGACTCCAGCTGAGGTTGGGGACGAAGCATTTTTAATGGGGAGGGAGTAGGGG